GTAGAGAACACTGATGTGGGCCCCACGGCTGTGGTCCCCACTGTGGTCGTATGACAGCACATGTAACCTTTGTTAGTTATGTCAGTGTTAGTTGGTAATTATCTTAGACAGTTTGTTATTTCAGTTTATTATTTGTTTTATTTGCCATATAAGCATTAAGGGCAATTCTGCCATTTCCTACATTTAGTGAACATAATCTATAAATATTGAGAGAGTGGCGGCAGAAAATTCATTCGATCTGTCTCTCTCTCTCTCTCTCTCTCTATCTCTATCTCTCTCTATCTATATATATATATATATATATTTGAAGAATCAATAAAAAATTTCATTAAGAGAAATTCCAGAAATTCCAAATACATTCTCAAAGCTTTAAAATGAAATTGCCCATTCTTGGTTGTCTAGATGACATACCAAATACATTCTCAAAGCTTTAAAATGAAAAGGATTCTGCATTACAAAGCTGTAAATCAAGGAAATTCCAGAAATTTGCAATCAAAACAGCTTTGGAGACTTGATCAAATTGCCCATTCTTGCTATCAAATATTCAATGCTCCACCCATTCTCCTCCCTCCTTCCTTCTCTCGTATCCCTCACAATCCAGCTAAGAAACCTCATTTTCCTCCCCATCTCCCTATCTTCCATCAACTCCAATATCATTCAATCTCATCCAGTCCCTCCTCTTCTCCCCCTTCCTCGTCCCACCCCTTGATTTTTTCTAAGTACTCTTGGTTTTTCTTTTTCTCTTCTATTTTATTTTTTTCAAACTTCCCAAATGCTATTTTCGCAAAGCCTTCCCCTCCCCAAAAAACTAACCTGAAAGACATTCCTATCTCGACCTCCCTCTCAACCAATTTATTGATATTCACCTTTCCCATTTTGTACTAATTCCTTGACTTCTTGGTGCAAAACACGCCAAAATGAAAAAAAAACATATCTAAGAAACTATTTCTGAAATAGAATAATTGTTAAGGTTGTTTCTAGTTTCTTCTAATAAGTATCAAACAGAATAATTGTTAATTAATATAAATAAATACTTTAGGCCTCTGTATGGGAATAACCAAATTCATAAACTTTAGAACACTTGGCGCAAGGTTATTTATCTTTTTCCAAATACAGAAGACAGAATAAACCACCTTCAAAAAAGTTACATGCTTAACAAAGTGGAGGATAGGTCCTTCTGAAAGAATGAAAACTCACCAGAAATTTCTCATACCTGAATTCATGGCGAACCTTTTCAAAACCTGGTTGAGTCATTCCATTGTAAACCTACAAGTCCATAATGGTAATCCCTCCTAATGACACGCTGGTTTTTTTTACAAGATCAAGATACCAGAAAGAGAAAAACGCATACTTACAACTTCCCATGATCGAGGATGAAAACCAATGGTGAAACCTTCAAACACCCGTGGGCCACGTCTCTGACATGGGATGGCAAGCTCAACAAGAACCCTAGATTTCAAACAAATGCATGTGTAGAATTTGGAACAGTGAAAAAATCAATGGTATGACAGAAAAGTTTAATTCATTGTAAATATATTAATTTTTCCCTCTTCACCTGCTTTTCCATTTCCCTTTATTTTCATTTTCAATTTTGTTGCTATAGAACTTAAGAAAACAAATTCTGTTTCCAATGTTCTATGCAGTTGAATAATACCCACAAGTTTCCCTAGTGCCAAAAGATATATGTTTGCCTACACAGCCAAGCATTACAATATTTAGCAGAGCCAAAAATGGTAGTAATCATGTTATTCAGAGCAGTATCTTATAAATTAAAAACTGATACATTTCGGTGCTGCTGCTTCTGTTGATGATGATGATGACTAAAAGAAAAAAAAAATTACAAAACTTCACATAAATGTTGAGACCATGTAGCACCAATCTAAAGGCATTAACATGTAATCAAGAGACTAATGGACTACTCCAAAACTCATGATGGACAAAAGAATCAATTGATGCACAATTAAAGGGAAAATAAAAGAATAGATAACAATTCAGAAAAGATTAAGTACAGACCTGCAAGTTGTATCATAGGTTACACTGCATATGCAGCCAAGGTCACCTGAGAGAGAAACCAAAACGAGATTTTAATACATAGGCCTACAGGAGTAAGTACCATACATAATTCAGTGGATAACAAGGTCAAAGGGGGTATTCATCAAAAAATAGATTTAATCACAAATATAGGATGCAAGTGATGCAAATAATAGGAGATTAAATGACAAGCTGAAAAATAAGTCTATTTGGCATTCCTTATTTTAAGGACTTATCTCCTTTTTGCTGTTAAAAACCCAGTGTTCATAGGGGCATTTTAACTACAAAAAGGAGTTAAGTCCTTATAATAAGGAATTCCAAATGCAACCTAAACACATAAGGCACAAGATAATGGAAGCGAGGAAAAGTTCACATAAGAAAATAAAAGAAAATAAATAAATAAAAAACAACAGAACCAAAAAGGCAAAAGTGCACAACAGTTAGATTTTCAACAATCCTCTTCTGCTTCATCTATAGCTTCCAAGATTCAGTCTTTGGAAGGGTCAAGAATCAACAATCACCACCGTATCTCTCACTACATTGATACTTCTTAAACCCTAGTGAATGTTGTGACTATAATACTTCCTCTATTTGGCAATTTACTAGAGTTTGTGGAAGGAATTTGTTAGGGCCCAGACTTGGAAGGATTCCACCACACCAAAGCTTACTGTTTGGCCAGCTATGGTTGGAGTATTTCTAGGAAGCACAAAGCAACGTCAGCTAACAAACTGTCAGAGTTTGTTACGAGCACTACAGCTGCTCTTGAGTGCCACTGAAAGCCTTTAGCTAAAACAATGAACATAGAACATTTGCCCTAACATCTTCTTTTTCTCTCTTTCTATTCCTGAGGAAGTTTGGCTCCCTTGAAGGGTCACCTGAGGTACACAGTACCCTACTAGTTGGTATCACAGCGGCAGTCTGGCGATGCCTAACACAAGGGCCTCCACCATGGAGGAGAGGGTCAATTGGATCAAGGTCAAGCTTCACAAGGTCACGACGAAACTGAAGGAGATTAAGGAGACACCATCAGTAGTAGTTCCCCACCATGAGAAATCAGCTCCAAGCTCCAGTAAGGATAGTAACAATGAAGGATCATGCCTGGGAAGATTCCAGTGACCAGCACAAGCTCCTGATAAGGTGGATAAACTGGATTTTCCTAGTTTTTGGGTGAAGACCTTATAAATGAAAAAAACTAGGAAAATCCAGTTTATCCACCTTATCAGGAGCTTGTGCTGGTCACTGGAATCTTCCCAGGCACGATCCTTCATTGCTACTATCCTTACTGGAGCTTGGAGCTGATTCCTCCAATACCTGCCATTCCAGTGCTTCCCATAGAGCTCCCATCAAAATTTAGTTTCACTTTATTAGTTGCTGGGAGTTACCACTCCATAACCATGTTTTACTTTCTTTAGTGGAAGCTACCACTTCAGTCCAAGCCTTATGTGCTGATTTCGACCAAGCTTCTTGTGAAAGGAAGAGGAGAAAGTTGGGGATTTCAGCAATAGACAGAGGAAAGGGAAGAAAAGAGAAGAAGGTCGACTAGGATAGTGATCATCAACCCTAGCCGCCAGCCCCTCATTCTA